AAACTGGGCATGTGTCCACACATGACTGCAGCCCAACAGCTGCTATTAGGTACTGTGAATCTGCTTACACTGCTATGCCTACTCTGCCCTAATAACATACCACACCTGACTACAGGCCATGCACTTTATATGTATATTAAGACAGAAAAGGAGGGGGTGAATCCAAGGCTTACAGAAAAGGTAACAGAGGCCAGAGAAGTCCTGCAGGAACTCTCGAATGACATGGCTATGGTATACACCTATTGTGTGGAGCAGGGTGTTGTAAAATAGTCAAAAGTGTTTAATACTCAGACTATCAATGGATCTTGCTCTATTGGAAAGAAGAGATTTCTTTGCTTTTAAAAACCTTTATTTCTAAGGGTAAAAGGTACACGGGATAACTACAAATAAACATAATACTAACAGCTACATTTTCTAAGCTGTCTATAGTCAACACTAACACAGAGATAATGGAGAATCTGTCCTTCTTCTCGACCCCTAGAAAGGAAGTCACCTGAAACAAACAACCAATCTGTATCACAATAGAAGCTACTTTGGCTAATTCCCCATTGGCTTACTGCCAGGTATCCCTTCCAGATGAGTCTAAACAATAGGAATACTAGGAAAAACAAGTTAACCCTATAATGGCTGGATTGTCAGACCTTGTAAACACATGCATTTCCAACAGGGAGAACTCATAAACATCTTGGAACAAAAGGCTTGTGCAGGAAGAGGGCCACTGTTCTGTCCACTGACCTTCTCATAAGGGTTGCCATGTTCCCCCCAGCCGTCGGCAGGGGATGGATGGTAGGGTGGCCAGATCCAGGTTGGGAAACTCCTGAAGATTTGGAGAGGGCAGGGAGCTCAGGGGAGTACAATGCCATGGAGTCCACCTTCCAAAATATTCATTTTCTCCAGGGGAACTGATCTCTGTAGTCTGGCGATGAGCTGTAATTCCAGAGGATCCCCAGGTCGCACCTGGAGGCTGCAGTATAAGTAAGCCAGAATAAAAAGAACTACTGCAATTATGCAAACAATAATTGTAATAATAATCTCCTAAATGAATACAATTGGAGCTGCGGTGGCTCAAGTGGTTAAGACGCTGAGCTGCAGGCTGTGGAAGGTCAATAGTTCAGCAGTTCGAGACCCAAGTTGCCGCATGACGGAGTGAGCTCCTGTCTCTAGTTCCAGCTCCTGCCAACCTAGCAGTTCAAAAGCAAGAAATTGCAAGTAGATAAATAGGTACCACTTCGGTGGGAAGGTAACAGCGTTCCGTGCACCTTGGTGTTTAGTCATGCCGGCCACATGACCACGGAAACGTCTTCGGACGGCGCT